AGTGCGCCAGGCCATCATTGGAGTGAAACCCCAATGGGAAACGACGAGCCCGGTAACCAATGGTGACATGAAGGAGATCGTATGAAGAGAAGACGGTAGCCTATGGTGAATCTAAGAGCTAGCCAAGTATTAGTGCAGATAATAAGATGAAACGGATATGTGTTGTTGAAGACTCATGTTCTACGTGGAACTAAAACGACGTTATGTTAGTTAGAGGTAGGCCTGATTAGTTCTCAATATAGATAGTTTTTCAAGTATTGGTTTGTAGGGATTTTGTTTGATTGGATGGAGGATTTCATCATGAGCTGTCATCAGTTGCAGAGCCATTGGAAAACAACCACGGAGTACTACACAGCTGTTTCGTCCTTGCTTGTGACTCCTCACAGTACGCACCCCCCGCCAGGATTCAAACCTACAACCTTCTGGTTACAAGGCTAACTAGCTCGTAGACCATTAAGCCACTGTGACCCGATAGAGTGGATGGCGCATGAATTCCAACTTCTGCCAATTCACGATATAGTGCGACTAATAGCCAGTGTCATCGGTGACGAATATCTGTCCTCACTTCCGACCTGCTGTACCCCACTAGTCACGACTTCCCACTAGAACTTCAGGTGACTACACAGCTGAATAGGGCCAGAATTTAAGTACCAGCAAGTACCAATGGAGGGTGACCACACCAATGACCTTGAAACTCTGGGTAGGCAAGTTAGTGAAACCTGGTAAATAATATTGTAACCACGAATAAAATATGCTTAATGAAGTATTATGTTATTAGATGGGATATCTGGCAAGTTTCAGGTTAAGTTAACCTAACGAGAGTGAAATTAGGGTTGGTTCGAATTAGAATGGGGTTAGTTTCGGGATATTTTCACGTTAGGGTTAGAAGACCTAGATAATTACATGCGTAGAATGCAGTTAAACTATTCTGTTGATACTCCAGCCCAAAAAGAGAGGTATTTTTGTCACGCGTCAGAGAAAGGTATCCTGTGTAACTGTTTCATGCTATTTAATTGATTATTTTCATGAATATATATATATATATATGAGTACTTCATATGCACAAATCGCCTTTATCATGTAATTGGTGCATCCAAGGTCATTTGTCCGTTAGTACTTACTGGTGTGAAAAGTTTACCTTAGCCCATCTTTTTCCTCATCAAAACGCTAAAGTTGTCACTGATTCTTTCCAAATTGCTGCCAGTTACCTATCACTTATATAGAATCAAGAAGTAGGATCATCGGATTCTGTTTATAAAAGGCATGTCTGATAGATTATCTAAAAGTTTTGTAGCTTATCGTTCTCATTTTCGTATTCAAAAGTAATCAATAATTCAATAATTTCCGTTGTAACATTAAAAACAGAAATATTCAACGAAGAGACTGTCTGACTGAACACTAGTTAGTAACTAAAGTAATGTGTCTACTCTTTTGTTTGGCGCGGACTGGATTCTATGAGTCAGTCAAGTTTACAATGTGGCCACCACGGTGGCTAGTTATGTGGCTCGCCATCATCGTGCACTGTGAATTGTTGATATTAGATGGTTGTAGGCAATCGACAGGAAGCCTTGGACCTAGACTTCATGCTAGTTGGCAGTCACACTAGTCAGCAAGGAGTACTTTCAATCTTCAAGGAACTCATATCCCTTCTACCATTCGAATCCGCGTCACTTAGTGGGGGTTGCAGTCAGAGACGTTACCTCTGAGCTATTCAGGCTAGCGATTGATCTCCTGTAGGACTGACTGTATTAGATGCCTTGAGTGAACACTAGTCAGTGACAAGTATGATGTGCCTATTCCGTGGTGTGGGTGCATTCTGAATTCTATCGATCGAGTTTGCAATGTGGTCAACATGCCACTATGTGGCTCGGCATCACGGTGCACTTTGATGCGTTGATATTAGATGGCTACAGGCAGTCGGGTACACGAAGCCCAGCCTGACCTAGGTTTCGGCTAGTTGAAACTGTTTTCAACAACGAATTTATTATCAAGTTGTACAGTCGTGTATAAATATATAATTTATAGAAAGAAACTATATCCCATGAGGAAATTTAGACAAATCTTGTGAATACTTAAAACAATAAATAGTGTGAAAGGCAATTAAAGTATTTATGATTATAATGATACTTCAGTATTAAGTGGTAAAATAAAATTATATAATATGTATAAAATATTTCACAGAATGAATGTATAGGCCTTGGAAAGAGATGTAAAATTACTAGGATTAGGATTATTGATATAAGGATAAAACTTGGGCACTATGGTGGTAGAGTATAATTCCATTATGGATAAAATTTATTTTGATAAAATCACACAGTGTTGTACAGTAAGTAATATTTACTGATGACCATGTTTTGAGCACAATTTATTACTGCTCATCGTCATCATATCAAGGCACTTACTCACACAACTTTCTTGCTTCGTTTATATAATTCCATTATTTCGCACCCCTTGATTTGATCGGTAGTAATATTTTTTCCATATCTCTGGTATTATTGATGAGTCATTCCTGCTGCATGTATTGGGTGCAGATTCTATGAACAAAGTTTCAGTAATCAACCTCTCTCCACCTACCTAGATTCCTTTTTAGAATTTTGCCTCTGTCCCACCCACCCTATTGTATGGTTGTGTATCAATGCATGCAGTACGATTGCTGAGTGCTTTTTTTCTAAATTACTTATCTTCGCTGGTGGGGTCAATCATTCTAGCCTGAGCTAAATTCTTATGTTCTGACAATCTGACTACCCTCGACCTACTAGTTTGACCTATGTAATTGACGTCACTCACAGTCATTGCAAGGTATTTTGTAAATTATATTATTTTGTTTAATTGGATCCAAGGGGTCTGTTAGCCTACAGAGCTTGTCCTACCTGAGTGAGTTTGTAGGTTTGAATGCCAACCTAATTCCTGCTTTATTGAGAATTCTACGTAGGGTCTCAGATGTTCCCTCATTACATGGTAAAACTGTAGATGCCTTATATTCTCTCTTATTTATGTTATCACTGCTAGTTTCATAATTATTTTTATTTTGCTTTCGACCCTTTCTGATATTACTAATGAATTTTATGGGATAGTTATTTAACACCAACGTTTCTTCTTCTATGTGTTTCATTTCATCATTTAGGTTTGTTCTTGTACTGCTTAGTGCCATTGCTCGGTTTGTTAGACACTTAACTAAGTTTGCCTTAATAGATAGATAATGGATGAGACGAATTAAAGAAGTCTAAATATCTATTAGCCGAATGCGTTGGCTTTTTATAAACACTAGTGTGCAGTTTACCTTCTTCTCTTCGTTTTATTTCAGAATCTAACACCACAGCTAATTCTCCTTGTTCATTTTCACTTTTAAATATGAAATTTATTATTTGTTATTATTTATTAGTTGCAATAATAATAGTTAATAAGTAAAACGTATTACCATGGTAGATTCAGAGTGACCATCAATCCCCTTTGTACACAGGGACCTGGTTTATAAACTATAATGACACAAACCTCTTCTGCAGTTGCGAGCATCTGCCTGTTTCCTGTTTATCTGCTGACAACAGTATGAATAACTTGACAGTGTGTCAATACTATGTCCGTAGTCCACAAGATGCTTTGTTATTGTACTTTTGGCACTCTGACTTGAGTCATTTTCAAGCAGCTTGGCAAATGCTCCACTATGCAAGTAGACTATCGCCTCTGGATACATACAACCTATGTATTTGCTTCTACAAACACACTTAAATTGAAATACGCAGTTTGAAGTGTCGAGGATTGGCGACCGGCCTTTCCCAGACTGTTGGAGCACCTGCTTACTGGTGGCGTTAACGAAGACATGATTTGCAGCATAATAAGTTCTCTTGATAGGCCCATCAAATCTTCCTTTGACTACTTCTCGTACATCATCTCCTGTGGACGGCGAATCGATAGGTGCAGATTTCTTTGGATGTGTTTGGATTGTTTTACTGAGGCTCATTTATGTATTAACTTTTCAGGATATCCATGCTTAGATAAGATATCCTTCAGAGTCTCTATTACACGTTCATTTATACTGTCAGACCAATGTTTCGTCCTCTACTGAACAGTGTTCTAAATAAGCTCTTTTCATATTGGATTGGAACAAAACTTTAAAAATGTATGTCCTGTCCCGCCCATGAAGACTTTCTAAATGTAGATCTCTCGATTGTGAGAGAAACATCTAGGAATTTAATGTTATCATTTTTCTCGCGTTCTTTTTTGAAGTTAAGATTCGGTTGACATGAATTGAATTTTATCAACAGGTCTTCAGCTTTTGATTTGCTTTCACAGACGATAAAAAGTATCATAAACATACCTTAACTTCATATATATATATATATATGCTGCTGATAAATACCGGATTCTTGGCCTGAGAAGGATAAATATGGGAAATTTGATGAATTCATTCATTCCTGCTTTATTAACACGTTTGTTGTTTGATTGCATAGAGGATTTCATCATGAGCTGACATCAGTTAGAGAACCATTGGAAAACAACCATGGAGTACTGGACAGCTGTTTCGTCCTAGTCTGGGACTCTTCAGTAATACGCATCCACCGGAGTCCGAACCCACGACCTTCTGGTTACAAGGCGAGCTCGTAGACAATTGAGCCACTGGAACCCGATTCAGTGGTCCTTGAATTCTAACTTCTGCCAATTAACGACATAGCACGACCATTTCGCAATGTCTTCTTCGATGAGTTACTGCCTAATCTTCAACCTGCTGAACTCTACTGGTCACGGCTTCCCACTAGAACCCCAGGTTAACTGTCTGAATAGAGCTAGTCGCTAGTGAGCATCAGATCGAACTAAAACGAAACAGCTGTCCAGTACTCCCTGTGGCCGGTTTTCTAATGGTTCTCTAACTTATGTCAGCTCATGACGAAATCATCCAACCAATCAAACAAAAACATTCCCCACAAAACCAATGCTTGAAAATAATACAAATTTTCTTTTTCTTTCAATTCCTTTCTCTCTTTCTTTCTCTCTTATTGATTTAGATTTTCTCGATCTAACTTGGGATCCAATAGTTTTAAAACATGAAACTGTTATCGACAAGATATCTCAACTTAGTCCGTAAGTTAACCATCCATTTTGTTAAAGTGAGGTATTTGAGAATAAGCCACCTTCAAAAATTCCCAGACGGATTTCATCACCAGCTAAGTTTAGTTAGGGAATTTATTGGAAATCAAGAAGTACTTGTTGAATAGCAGCTGCTTTGATGGAAAAACTTTCAAGCCGGTCTATTGCGTCGCATAACAAGTATTATTATTATTATTGTTCCCTTGGGTTCTGGCTGGAACATATGACTTCGGCAACACATCTCTACTTTGTTCTATTTTATGTTGTCCCCTTCATCTGGGCTGACACCTGCCCATTATCCCTCATCTCCTCTTTGTATGACCTCTTCTATGCTGCTCTTGGATGCTCAACTCGTCTTTTCTCATTCGGGTTCCATACTAAGACCTGCCTAGAGTGTTATGTCACTTGAAGATCGCCTTAGTGCGTATATCCAATCCAGGTCCACTTCTTTCTTGGTTAGTTCGTCACACCACCACAGACTTCGTTGTTGTTTATCCTTCCTAGCCGGTCATCTGATCAGACCTGATGAAATCCTGCAGAAGCCTGTTGAAAATTCTCTTCTTAACGCATCAACTCTATGAACCATGTGAAATCACTGATTGAGTTAACATTAGTGTTGAAAATTTCGATCTTATTCTCAGTACCGTAGATTTCCACATTGATTTCACAATATTACTCATTAGTGGCACCTCCCAGTAGTGAAAACGATGTGGATTAGGTCATGGATATGGAAGAGGCGACTTTCTCTAGATTTACCCCACTATTGGTGATTGATTATTGTTCCTTGGTCGATCACTTTTCTCAGTGTTGTTCACCTAAAGCAATAACTTCAACGCCTGACTCCTCTATCAAATTCCTGCCTTTTGCCTTTAAGTCTTCGAGAATGGCCAACATCAGACATAAAGCATTCGGGAAGTCCAGATCTTTTAGAGTCCTCTCATCGATCAAGAGTATGCTTGTACACTTACTCCTCGCAGTCAATGAAACACTCAACTGTTTAGTTAAAAGCTGAGCCTCCTAGCTAAATTAGTAAAGCAGTGGACTACTTAGTAATTCTGAAGGAGATAGTTCAAACTACATCACGATCCGGATTTTCATTTCACACCTTCAATCATCACTCCTCATTACATCAATAAGATATTCTGCCAACCTAAGACTATTACAGATAACCAAGGGCCAGGCAAAAGATCGTTTATTGAGAAAATCAACAGGTATTTATAGATTTTCATGTACATTATTGTCAGCGGAGAAGCAACGTCTTCCGATTGGTTTTTCTCTTGCTGAAGTCTATTCTATACTGCTTGTGACCGTTCCTCAGAAAGTTAAGCCATACATCTGCTAATCGTATTCGCACACGCTAAGTCTGCTGTGATTGGTTGGTGAGTTCCTCAAGGTTTAAGCTTTGTTATTGTTTTTTTCTCATGACTCCCAATTCGCCAAGTGAACATTGACGTAAATTGTTGTTGTTGCAGACAGCTCTCACGACAACCTCATCATCGATAAACAAGATTATATTCAAAGTGGATGTAGTCTTCAAAAATACGCTAACCTGATAAATCCTACTGTTGACAACAACTTCTCAACAGAACTTCAGAAGCTCCATCATATAGTTACTCACTAATAGGCAGCTGATCGAATTTTAGTTTTGTGTAAATTTTGATTGATTTCTCAGGAAATTTCATCGGGGACTGACATCAGTTAGACAGCCATTAAAAAAAAACAATAGAGTAAAAAGATAGAAGTTAGAATTCATGGGCTTTTAAGGGTAATGCTACATTTCTGTTTTTATTCCTTTTTCGCATGACCTGTCGTATTCTTCTATAGCTAATTTCATTGAATATACTGATAATCTGACAGTCTCCGTCTCAGTAGTCTATGCACTGAACTGTTCTGGTATGATCTCATTCAAATGGCATTAAACTAAATTCGTCTAAGCGTCATACTGTTGATTTCAGTTCTAGACATGACCGAGACTTGCATTGACTGATTCACTCCCATAGTTCTTGGGATATTGACGTCACTGTGATAGAGAGTAAATCGAATACCCCCTATGTTGATATCATTCAGCTGAAAAATGACTACAGAAAAATAGAGTGACATGACAACGTGCTGCTGATGCCTGAAAGGACAGTAATAGTATAATTTGGAGGGACTGTCGATAATGTATCACTGATTTAATCACACTGCAGTTTTATATCACTTGTAATGACTGTAGTGAAACGATGATCCAGTTTACAAGAGGATACGGCATATGGCCCCGACAGTACAGCATCTGACTACTAAGTAATTCAGAAACTGTTGGTTTAAACCCTGTCACAGTCCAGGTTTACATTTCATATGGTGGTGGCGCAGCGATAGGATGCTCACGCCTCATGTGGTTCGGGGTTCGACTCCCGACCACAGAAGCACTCCTTCACCTCGCTAATCCAGTAATAAGACTGGTAAAGAGGGAAGGTTAGGCATGAGGCTAGCAACCCACCCCCGTAAAAATAAATACCATTGCTACCGGAACTTCAAGCTTCTAGCTTGAAGGTGCCCAATATTTCATTGGGTATGTAAAGGAATAAAAAATAAATAAATAAATTTTTTACTTTTTATTACAATTTATATTTCGTCGTGAAGGGATTAGTTAAGGGATCATTGAAACGCAGGGAGTAAGGGACAGGTGTTCCCCCCTGCTTCAGTTTGAAACCTCTAAGAAGTGTGTCCGCACAACCTCAGGGGTTGGTCACTGCACCTTTGGGTTGAAATTCAATGACTCCCTAGTTTCGAACTTCTATGAATTTCACTACATAGCGCTTCCGCCAACTATTGGCATCAACGCGCATCTGTTTCACTCTGAAATGAGAAACCTGACTGGTCTTAACTTCTCGACAGAACTCCAGAACATCCATTTAATAGTGAAATGAGGTGGATGCTCTTCAACAGTACTGATTAGCGGTAGCACTGCATCGCAAATTCGTAGAACTTGGAATTCATGGGCATTGAATTCCAACGCAGTTATTGACTGTACTCACCCACTGGGGTTGGAACTTAGGACCATCCGATTACAAGGTAAGCTTGTGGGCTATTCAGCCACTGGGACTTCAGTAGTTTAGTTGGTTAGAGCAATGTACTCATAATACAAAGGTTGACGGTTTGACTCTCTCTGGGAGCACTGTTTTGTGCGTTGGTGCTTCAGAGATAGAATTTTCTTCAACCACGCCACCACATGTGGTCTAGAGTTCGATCTGCAGCCACCGACGCACTTGTATAACCTATTTAGCTGATAATAAATAAGCCTGATTAAGAAGGAAGTCGTGCGTATGAAATTGGCTATCCCACCATGTAAAACATCACAGCTACTGGAGCATCAAAGCTCGAGATTGAAGCCTCATGTGTTCCACTTGAAACACAAAAGGGAATAATTACTAACAATATGAACTGCAACCAACTGACTAAATGGTTGACGAGCCAACCTTGAAACGTGAAAGTTCTGGCAATAGGCTCATACGTAATCACTGCTGAAGAGTACCAAACTGAAAATAAAGGAGATGGCAGTTCAGTACTCCCCTACATTTAACCATAATCCTCTAAATGACACATCGGATTTTTGACAAAATTATCTGTTACGTTCTCTTTCATGCTTTTCCCCTGGCAAAACAATCAAACAACGCCGACCATTCAAAATATGTTGACAGTTATGAAGCCAGTTCAAAACAAGTTGTGAATAAAATTCATCGAAACTCCTTGTTGTCATGGCTAGAAAATAATGATACAATTTTACCAAAACAATTGATTGAAACAATTCATTTAAAGAGTAAAATGCTACATCAGCTAGGCTATGCACAAATTGGTTTCCCGCCAAATTATTCTTTATTAAAACCGATTGAATAATGAATGATAGCATTTGAAATAAAATTTAATCTGTGAATAGCTTGCTTACTTGCTTATTTATTCATTTTTGAAGATAAATATATGTAAATTTATTTTTTAAACAAGGCGTTTTGTGCATATTTTAAATGGTTTTTCGTCTTCAAATTTTTTATAATACAGAGCAATTTGAAGTTTAAAATATTTCAGGGTTTCAATGTTTCAATGACTGAATTTAGACTTCAATAGGCAGAATTCTGCATTTTCAACACTAATGTGAAGTCGGTCCTTCTAAAGAGGCCAGCATGTCACGAAAAGGATTTTCAACAGGTCGCTGCAGACTTTCATCAACAGCTGCCTTCGCTGGCTCTGTGGTGAAGATCGAATAGCCAGATTGTTTTAAGCTACAGAAAACTATGCAGAGCGACAAAGCAACTAAGAGCCCATCGCTCAACAAATATGTAGGAGCAAATGGAGATAGATTGATTGAGCATACATTGAGGAGGCCAACAAATGACATCTCACGCCAGGCCATTGCTCGAGTGGAATCCCAACGGGAAGTGACGAGTTGTTCGTCAAAGCGAGGGTGACATGAAGGAGATCGTGGGACGAAGAGATGAGAGAGTTTGGTCAATCGTGGAACCAGCTGAAGAGGGCGGTAGAAAACAAAACAAAGTGGAGATGTGTTGCTGAATCCCTATGATCCACTCGGAACGCAAGGGAATAATAATAAGCGGAATTCTGTCTATCCACTTACACGGTTCAGATTCGATTCCCAGTAAGGCAGTGACAGCTTTGCAAGTTAACGACCCAGCTTAGAGAATTTGACTGTGTTAAAATTATCGATCTAAGATACTAATCTTCTCCATTATATTTGTTGATTACCATTTATGGTAGGCATCAAGCAGGTCACATATTGTCTGTATGTGTATGTGTGTGTGCGATCTGAATAACTCGGTTCCTAAAGGAAACTACAGTATCATTTCACCACTCTTGATAACTGCGTAAATTGAAAATTGTGTTAGCAATTTTCAAATTGTGAATCTATTATTACTTATTATTATTGGTCATTTGGGTTCCGAGTGGAATATAGGGCTGGCTTCGACAACACATCTCTATAACACCTCGTCCCATATTCTTCTGTCCTCTTCAGCTGCCAAGCCCCACAACTGCCCATAATCTGTCATCTCCTCCTCCTTCTTACACGATTTCCCCCATGTCACCGTCGCACTGACCACCAACTAATCGCTTCCCATCCAACTTCCACTCGAGCTATGGCTTGCATTGAGCGCCATGTCATTCGACGGCTTCCTCAAAGTGTGCTTGATCAATCTATCGCCACTTTCTCCTATAGATGCTTTTGTTGAGCAGTTAGCTCTCGCTTGTTGTTTTTTTCCTAGCCAACCAGCTAACCAGAGTTTCTTGTTGCTAATTCTTTCTCACCGGCTGGCTGGCTGGATGGCAATTTAATCTTCAGTATGGAGCGGGCAGCTGTTGATAAATGTCTGCAGTAGCCTGTTGCAAAAATGCCCTCCGTGACAAGCCGGCCATGTTTCTGACCTGTATAGAAGAATTGACTGACTGATCGACTTCACATATGTGCTGAGCAGAATCCGAATCTTGGTCTTTATGCTGCTGGCTGAGTTAGTGCAGAAGATTTTCAAATTTATTTCACAGTGATCAAGGTGTATCCTGCCCTTCCGATCCTGAATAGCTTTGACGTCTTCATCCATGCCGTCCTCCTGTAGTTGAATTGACGCTTCCTAGATAACTGAAGGAAGTGACCTCTGTTAAATCTCTCCCGTTGATGGTGATTGGTGCTTGTTATATTTGCTGTTTGTTTGTTTGTTGGTTGGTTGATTATCTTCATCACCTCCGTCTTGTCTTTGTTCACCTGGAGTCCCGTCTTCGCTGTCCGCCAGCCTATTCTGCCAATTTGTTAGATTTCGCCTGTAAGTCTTCGAGTTAGTGTGTGTGTGTCACATTAAACATAAATCATCCACACGTGAAATCCAGATCTTCTAGATGGAGTCTTCCTATAGGTCAGTGCAGCGTATTACTGTCTTCTCACTCCCCACACACTAACGCATAATCCAGTCCACTGTGAATCTGATGTCCCCTTTTTCACATTACTGTAATTTTTGTGTGAAGAGTAGTTAAGTGTAACCGAATTTCTCTTTTTCTGAAAATTACTTATATCACAAGAATAGGGGTGTTGGTCATCTAATAAGCCACGTGATTATTTATCCTTCGCTTTCTTCTCCTTCTTACTAGAACTCCTTCAGGAGAGAGAGATAGGGGGTGGAAAGGGAAACCAGAAGAGGAATCTGAATTACTAAAATATATGATCCACTCCTTATCCTCGAGAATAAGAAGGATATGTGTCTGCCAGTGATACAACTGATGTGGAACTGGAGCGACTCAGACAACTCCTCAGAGAGAATGGATACCCTACAAGATTTCTCAAGAAAAACATGAAAGTTTTAAAGCAAAAGCCTGAAAGAACCCAGACGGGACCAAAGAAACTACTATTTATGAGCGTTGAGTGTAAAGGTGATACCTCAGCTGAGATCCTGAAGAATTGTTTCTGCAGATCACTGAGGAAAGCCTTCTTTACGGCTGAGCTACGGATCAATTTCTACAGCCGACAAATGATCAGTGGATGTGTGAACGATAAACTACCACTTTCGAAAGGCCACTTCACAATGTGTATTTAGACATTCACCTGCTCGTGTGGAGCTAGTTATATTGGCTGCACAAAGCGCACCCTTTCCAAACAAAGCGTCTCTGAACATTATCCGGCATGGTTAGCAAAGGGACAACGCAAGGTGAAGCCGAATAGCACAAAGGGTGTCAGGTTTCGGCTTTTCTGTATGGCGGAGTCGTTGGCATTTCATCAATACAACCCTTAACTCTGTAAATAGAAAAATGTTGTCCAGCCTCTTATTCTACCTTGGTCTTAACCTCTTCACTGGTCGTTCCATGTGAAAAAATTTGAATTTTTTAATTTTCAATTTTACTTTTAGTCTGCTTTTACTTTAACAATTAATTGACGATTATCACTCTCTCACATGTTCCTTTTGCACATTTTCACAACCTCTTCACACGTGTTAAATTGACACTCAACTGCCACCTTTATTCCCACTACTCAATAGCAATTTTAATCTTTTCAAATTTCTAACTTTGTGACATTGAGTACCACGTAATTTACAACTTTTAATCGTACTTCTAAAGCCACTTCTGAGTAATTATATCAATTATATCACCCTCTCCACCTATTACTCAATAATAGACTACAATAAATCTTTTGGTCAATATAAATACGACTGTACGGCAACCTGTGAAGATGATATCGTCGATAAAGAAAAGGAAATTTTCTTCACTGAATTTGTCTTTTTTTTCATGACTCACTGGGTATTTTTGGTGGCTTAATTCGATAATGGGCAAACCGAAAGATCCAACAGAAAAAGGAGATAAAATTAATACCATTTACAAAATAAATAATTGTATGAACTGTAACAGACATTACATCGGCCAAAGTGGGCGTCCCCTTCGAAACAGAATCGAAGAACACAAATTAGCTGTGAAAAGACATGATACATATTCTTTCATTATATCAATGCATGTGGATAATTATGGACATCAGTTCAATGATTGGGAGAATGTAGAAATTTTAAACAGAGGAAACACCAGCAATGCAGTCACGGAATTCCTAGAAGCCTGGTGTACTCAAGTGAATCAGTCAGCGATTAACAAACACATTTAATATAAGTAAAAACACGGTTTTTTGTTCAGCGAAGAAATTTCTTTTCAACGACTTCATTTTCAAGCTGTACAGTCGTATTTATATTACAGAAAAGGTTATTAAGTGGCACTAAATAATTGCTCAGTCAATATACATATATAAGTGATAAGAATAACGATAATTAAAATGTTCTAAGGGGTAGAGTCGAAGTGGATAAATTACAAAATTATTAAAGATTGTTTTATAAGTGAATTGATGTCAAAAATGTTTTAAAAAATGTAATCTCCGAAAACGTGTAGCTGAACACTATCCAGTCTGGTTAATGAAAGGCTAACGTAGAACTGCGACGTCGTCTATTTGTGATCACCTGTTACAGTCAGGTCATTTAGCCCCACGTGATTCATCTTTCAAAGTTATCTACATGGCAAAATCCAATCGATCCAAAAGTTTACGTTTTCTTCACTTATGCATAGCCGAAGCTTTAGCTATACATGAACAGAAACCTAAATTATGTGTTCAAAAACGTTTTGTCAAACCGCTTTCTTTACCTTGGACATAGTAATGTTTTTTCTAGTTTTTACTTTATTTTATTTTACCACTTGAATTCTTTCCACTTCACTTCACATCCTCATTCTTATCGTAATCGTACTCCTAATTTTTTAAAATTTTTAGACAACACTTGACATTTTTAAAACATTTTTGACATCAATTCACTTATAAAACAATCTTTAATAATTTTGTAATTTATCCACTTCGACTCTACCCCTTAGAACATTTTAATTATCGTTATTCTTATCACTTATATATGTATATTGACTGAGCAATTATTTAGTGCCACTTAATAACCTTTTCTGTAATATAAATACGACTGTACAGCTTGAAAATGAAGTCGTTGAAAAGAAATTTCTTCGCTGAACAAAACAAAAACTGTGTTTTTACTTATGAATAAATGGGTATTTTTCGTGATATTTAATATAGACCAAATTTACCAACTAATGAAAAGTGAATCATCACATGACAATTAAGTTTGAACTCCAAGTCAATAAAAAGAAAATGGTCAATACAGCTGTAAATCGATTACCAGTCATGAAGATGGTTGCCAGGAGACACAATTCTATCACCAGTCATGAAGAATTTAAATCAGTTCACTTTATGCTAAAAATTTCGCTGAAGATGTTGTCTGGATGGGGGAAAACGAAAGCTCCGCAATTAAACCAACCAGCTCAGCGAACACAACTAATTGCAAATCATCCACATGAGCAACAAATCTCTATTATTTCAAAACTGTAGATATACAAAACAGCGGTTTGACCAATAGAAAATATCCCTTGACTCCTTTTGTTGTTACATTTCAACTTCTTTTGGATTATTGAGAGAGAGAGAGAGAGTTATTG